TGGGGCTGGACCCTTCTGGAATAGGGGTTTTACAGTAAAACAAAGTAGGTCAGATAATTACTTTATGGCCGGTTGATTAGAATAATTTTAGGTTTTATGGCAGGCCTTCTGGAAAAGAGGTTCTGCCTTTTATTAATAAGCCTGCCTTGGAGAAGAGGGATTCTGGAGAAGAGGGATTTCTATGGCTAGCCTCAGGAAAAAAATAGAACTAAGAGGCAGGAGGACAAGAGAAGGTGAGATAACTTTTGTTTCTGAGGCCTTCATTTTAGTGTACTGTTATCTGAGCCCTATCAACATGATACCACCTGACTTTAGGCTGAGTAAACCTTCAACACCAATCCTTAGCACCTCAAAAAATGACACAGAGTTGTAACTTTTTTTTTTTACATAAAGATCAACATTAAGCTATTTTAAAAACAAGCTAAATTGTCTCAAAACATTTTCCAACTTGAGTGTAAACTTCAGTACATGTAATACTTCCAAAGATTAAGATTGTTTTGAGATTTTTCTTGGATTCTAAGAACAGCCACCTTGTTCATCTTAAAATAAATCACAGTTAATACAAAAATTAACAGTTTAGGGATTTTTTTCCCCGTAGGCAAAAACTTTGCTATGGCAACATAATGTACACATAATCGGCTAGCTTTTAAAGGGTAGGACAATTCAAGAATGAACAAGACCAAAAAGAAAACTAAAGCCTCCAATTTAAGCTCTTGTAACTGTACTTCCTAGGACAGTTGCAAATCCCTAACAGTACTGTTAATATCAGATGATAGAAAGAGGGAGTCACAAATAGATTTTTTTGTGTAGCTTTTCACATACATTAAAATAGGTGAAAGAAACTGCATCTATAACTAGGATTAAGAGACCAAAACATCTTCATAAACTTTTGAGCATAAGTTTCTCTTTTCATGCTCCTATTTACTTGATGTTTTACTTATTTTAATTTACTGACATTTTTGTTTAGACATGTCTACATTTTTACCTAAGTAAGAACCTTAAAGTTAAATACATGGATATTTTTGTTGATAACTCAGGAGATTTCGCTATTATCATGAGACCATCAATATTAAGTTAGCCTTATTGATCAAAAATATACAAACAGGTCATTTTGTTTTTGGCTGGGTTTATAGTTTTATAACCTTTTGTGTTGAACCCTGACATCTTACAAACATAAAAATGACCAGTAAATCCAGGTAATAATGTATGCTGACAATTTGAAGACATTTTAATTTTTATTTCATCAATAATAATAAAGTTAGGGCCGGGCATGGTGGCTCACGCCTGTAATCCTAGCATTCTGGGAGGCTGAGGCAGGCCGATTGCTCAAGGTCAGGTGTTTGAAACCAGCCTGAGCAAGAGTGAGACCCCGTCTCTACTATAAATAGAAAGAAATTAATTGGCCAACTAAAAATATATAGAAAAAATTAGCTGGGCATGGTGGCACATGCCTGTAGTCCCAGCTACTTGGGAGGCTGAGGCAGCAGGATAGCTTGAGCCCAGGAGTGTGAGGTTGCTGGGAGCTAGGCTGAAACCAGGGCACTCACTCTAGCCTGGGCAACAGAGTGAGACTCTGTCTCAGAAAAAAAGAATCAAGTCATCTGTTAAGTAAATTGATGACCTGCAGGTGTGGTTTAACTTTTGTCTTTTATGGCCTTAGGCCTGTTAAATATTTAGTATTATTGTTATACAGAATAACTCTGAAAGTGAGGTGGCACAAGTAGGGTGTCTGACCTCCCTCTCCCCATGGCCAACAACTCAGCTTTAAGGTTTTTCTGGGGTCCCCTTGGATAAGAAGGCATCCATTCAGTCAGCTTAAGATTTTATTTTAGTTCACAGGTGGTAAATTGTGGGCAGGCTGGGCATGGTGGCTCACAGCTGTAATCCTAATATCAGGTTTTAGTCTGAAATGTCAGTTCTTGGGACACTCCTGGTGGCAGAATGACCAGATGGATCAAAGTAAGGCAAGCAAGAAAATGAAATTTATTAGGAGAGAAAGATAGGATTATAGGACAAGAGCAAGATACAGGTTTACAGAGCATGATACACTTCCCCCAGATGAGGACTGGACTCCATTGTCCCCGTAAAGGGAGAGCAAAAGGAAGGGGCCAAAAAGGGCCGGTTATGGTCTACTACATCTTGTTTTATAATGCCCTGATTGGGACCTCCCTCGTGGTTCAGAGGTCGCCATAGAACTACTTTGATTGGACAGTTGGGAGTCACATGACCTGAGTCTTAATTATGCATGCAGTTTGCTCTAGGTCAATTTCCGGACTCTGTGGTACCTATGTGGCATGGCCCATGGGCTAGAGAGTCCTCTGCATTCTATTGCAGCTGGTGTGCTAAGTTGATTGGCAGATTCATGGGGTATTCCCTCTTCCCCAGGTATGGCAGTCTCTGAGGAGATTAGGGTGGGGCAGAACCAAGACGGGGTCCACAGCACCCACTTTCATCCCTAGGAGACCCAGAATCCCTCACTGTCTACCTAACACTAGCACTTTGAGAGGCTGAGACCGTAGGGGTGCTTGAGGCCAGAAGTTTGAGACAAATCTGAGCAACATAGTGAGACCTTATCTCTACAAAAAATAGAATGGTGGTAAGCACCTGTAGTCACAGCTACATTGGAAGCTGAGGCAGGCAGATTGCTTGAGCCCAGGAGTTTGAGGTTAATAGTGAGCTATGATGATGCCACTGTACTCTAGCTTGGGCAACAGAATGAGATCCTGCCTCAAAAAAACCAAAACCAAAAACCAAAAAAACCCAAAAAACAAACAAATAAAAAAACCCCACCAAACAAACAAACAAAACAACAAACTCGTAATTAAAACTAATTTAATTTACAGATCTTAAATGGATTTTATTTGTAATTCTAGAATTGAGCAACACTTCATTCTATAAAACAGAATGAGTGTTCCCATGAGCTGAGCACAGGACGTTGGCTTTACAGACAGAAAAGAGCTGAAGAAAGCAGAAACAGAACAAAAAGCACATTGGTCATTTTAAAGTTACTTTCATCGTAAAGGTTAAAGCAGAGGGGAATTCCTTATCCTAGCTAAAACTAGCCTGTTTGGGGCTTTAGCTATTACTTCTCTCTCTCCTGGTTTTTTAGAGGCCAGATAAACAACTTAATTTTAGCTTGGTGATGTAGAACTTTAGCATGAGTAATTATTTAGGTTTGGTCTGAGTGCAGGAGCTCAGTCCAAACCAATGGTCTCTTATACATTTTATTTCACAGATCTAAAGTTATCTTCAGTTATAAAACTTTGTCCTTCCAGGACAAAGAGAGGCGACACTTTTGCATTTGTAAATTTATGTCCTGCTTTTAGGCAAATGAAAGAGGACAGAGTTTTTGGTGTATCTAGGATCTTCTCAATTGCCTTCACTCAAAAGAGTCCTTACTGCCAAGGATGTTGCTGAAGGCAGGTTTGGCTGCCACTACCCAAGAACCAAACACAAGAGGAGAAGTGAAATGGGGATAGCCTGAGGAGATGGTAGACTATTTTCTCATGGACCATCTCATCTTTCTCTGCTCACTGCTCAATTTATAAAGAGAAGGCAAAGGGGGTACATAGCAGAAAGCTAGCTTTGTGCAAGTCATGACTTATTCGCTAGTTATAGGCAAACAATAAATTGATGGATCTTGTTATCAACTGTCTGTGGTTGGCCTGTTCCTGACTTTTTTCTTTTAAAGACAAGGTCTTGCTGTTGCCTGGGCTAGGGTGCAGTGGCATTATTCTAGCTCACTGCAACCTCAAACTCCTTGGCTTAAGTGATCCTCCTGCCTCAGCCTCTCAGTAGCTGGGACTACAGGCAGGTACCACCATGCCTGGCTAATTTTTCTATTATTTTGTAGAGCTGAGGTATTGCTCTTGCTCAGGCTGGTTTCAAACTCCTGGCCTCAAGCAATCCTTCCGCGTTAGCCTCCTAAAGTGCTAGGATTATAGGCATGAGCCACTGTGCTTGGCCTGTTCCTGACTTTTGATCTGTTTTTCGTAAGCAGGCAGCAGGTTGATTCTACTTTTTAAGACAGAACAAGGCCAGGCATGGTAGCCCACACCTGTAATCTTAGTTCTCTGGGAAGCCGAGACGAGAGGATCATTCAAGGTCTGGAGTTCAATACCCAGCTCCAGCAAGAGAGAGAGCCTGTCTCTACTAAAAATAGAAAGAAATTAATTGGCCAATTAAAAATATATAGAAAAAATTAGCTGGGCATGTTGGTGCATGCCTGTAGTCCCAGCTACTAGGGTGGCTGAGGCAGGAGGATCACTTGAGCCCAGGAGTTTGAGGTTGCTGTGAGCTAGGCTGACAACATGGCACTCCCTCTAGCCAGAGCAACAGAGTGAGACTCTGTTTCAAAAAAAAAAAAAAAAAAAGACAGAACAACACAAACCAGAAGCAAAATGGCTTCCCTTTAGCTATCCTAGCAGTATAATCTGAATGGCCCTTGGGGTGCGCTTACAAAGAGGCATATTTTGGGGTGGTACATTCTGGTCTCCTTCCAGGTATACTACTTTTATTCATGCTATTAGTCACTACTATTCCAGTCCCCTCACCTCAGACCACCCCATCCCCAGTCTCATTTTTCTTTCACCTTGCACGGTTTGCCCACTCATCTCCTACCCAACAGTCCCCGGAACGTAGCGATCTATCAGTGCGCGCTGTTGCCCCAGAGTTGTGTTTCTGGCGGGGATCAGCTGTGTGTGCGTTCTCTGAGAGGGAGTGATTGAAAGGGCAGAAGGCACCAGTGAAGAAATAAGGTGCTTCACCGAATAACATGGGGCGGAAGGAGGAAGCGGGGGTCACCCTCAACCTGTACCTTTGGTGTACTGCGAAGGAGGTTGGGCTTTGGAGGGGTGCGGTGGGCTTGAGGGCCGGAGTGGCCCAGGGTGGACCCGAGGCACGAGGAGCCTGGGCGGGGCCTGGGCGGGGGGAGGAGCTCGGCAGGTCTGCGCAGGACGTGGGCGGGGCTCGGAGGGGCTGGGCTGGGGCGAGGCGGGCCCTGCGCGCAGACGCGCAAATGCGCAGACTCCCAGCAGAAGCAGGACTGCGGGACTCGAGCGGTTGCGGCGCTCAGGTAGGCCATGAGGCGCGCTGTGTTAGAGCTCGTCTCGCCGCTTGTGGGGCTGTGGTTGTTGCTGTGCAGTTGGGGGTGCCCCGGGAACGCCGAGCCGCGATCCCCGCCGGAGAAGATCGGTAGGCGAGGAGTGGGCGTTGCAGGAGGGCATCCGGCAGCCGCTGCGTAGCGCGCCCAGGCTCGCAGGCCCGGCAGAGGCTGGGCTGCTAGGGCCAAGCCTGCCTGGCAGGTTGCACTTCACCCTCAGGGCGGCTTTCGGTCCTCCTGCGAGTGGGATCGTGCCTTCCCAGGCGTGGAGAAGTGCCCACGTGAGAAATGGGCGTGGATGGGCACCCGGTAGGGTGGGCGTCCAGCGTTCCTGCAGCCCCTGTTTCGTAGACCTGAGACTCCAGGGAGGCTGAGGTCCCTCTTTGAGCCTTCCCTTTGCTGCACCTTGGGAGACCAGTGTTCCGACTGGACTTGGAGCGCCCGGCCTCTCCTGCTATGCAGATTTCAGGCGCACGCAGACACAGCACAGGGCAGTGGAAACAAGCTGACCCTGTCCGCTTCCCTTGATAGGCTGGAACCCCCTTTCCCCATCTGCGCTTTGCTGAGGTCGGCCTGCTAGCAGAGAGGCCCCTGGCTTGCACAGTTTCTTTGCTTAGGCCTAATACAGCTGCTGAAAGAATCTGCTCTTTCCAATTTCAGGTGCTTTGGTGTTTTGCTCCCTGCAAAACACCCCCCGTCCTCCTCCCCCCTTTTAAAAAATTGTGTTTTTCGGAATCATTTATCTATTTTGAGTCTACATTGAGACAAAACAGAGCTAGAAATGGCGGTCACTTTGTTTAAAATGCTTACTGTGAAGGCCCACCTCTTCTGTTCCCATGAATTGAGCACCAAGAGGGGTCTGCAGACTCGTTGATGCTTCCAGAAAGACCTGTGAGAATCTATGGGCATCGGGAAAAAAATCGAATTAGTGTCCATTTTTAAATTAACATACTATCACTTTTGTCTGTTGTCTGTGTATGTGCAGATTCAGAGAGTTGGATCTTCAGTGCAGGTGTCCTTGCCCCCTTCTCCAGGCTCCTCTGAATTGTTGGTAATAGCTTTCAGTAACAGCCATTATTCGTTAATGGCCTTTCAAAAACACAACACAACACAACAAAACAAATCAACTCACAAAGATAGTAAGAGAGGAAAAAAAAAAACCTGTTCCTTTTTTCCCCCCTCAGCGATTATTGGAGCCGGAATTGGTGGCACCTCAGCAGCCTATATTCTGCGGCAGAAATTTGGGAAAGATGTGAAGATTGACGTGTTTGAAAGAGAAGAGGTTGGGGGCCGTCTGGCCACTCTGACGGTTCAGGGGGAAGACTATGAGGCAGGAGGTTCTATCATCCACCCTTTAAACCTGCACATGAAGCGTTTTGTCAAAGATCTGGGTATGTAATTTTGGTCTTAGATCTCATCAGATTTCTGTGTGACATCCCTGGATATTTTTCATCAGATGGAGAACTGAAACTTTTCTGCCTTGTTAATTGTCTTTGACAGAGAAGTTGGTAAAAATTGTTTTCCTCACTTTCCTGTTAGCAGTTGGTACTGGCTGCTCTCCTGTAACGGGACACTGGTTATCAGTATCTTCTGTTATCTGGAATTACAGACAAGGGGTGAGGGTGGGGGTGGGGGTGGCTGCTGTTGTCAGTTCTTAAACTTCTGGGTTTGTGTTGAAGAATCAGAGAATGTTTTGAGCTAGCAGCAACCTTCGCATGCTCATTTAACAGCTGAGGCAGTGAGACCCAGAGGCTTGAAGTGTCTGGCTTCAAGTCACTCACACAGCTGTGGGTGTAGACATGTGCCTTGAGCTTGGGATGTCCGATGGCTGCCCTGCCAGGAGAGGCACTGGAGGGGTTGTGGGGGGAGTCTGGCAGGCCTCTGCAGGCCCTTTCCTCAGGGAATTATGTAATACTGGCCTCCTTGCAGTTATCTGAAATATCCAGTTATGCAAAATGGAAGTCTAATGGGAATGGGAGTGCCTGTTTCCCATCAACTGCCTTCCACATGCCTGGTGGATGCTTCCTGGGCTTCCACTTCCTCCGTGAGGGCAAATGTCCACCCGGAGCAAGTCATGCCACAGACAGTCCTGTCTGACATTTTTGTTTTCAATTGAATTCAGTTGGTACTCTGGCTTCTTTCCTTTGACTGTCTAGTATTTTTAGACTAAAAATATCCAGATATAACTATATCTAATTTTTATATGTCTGTATGAACATCTGACCCATCTTCTGGAGAATCTGCTTTTGGACAGTAGTGAGTGTAGTGTATCACACTGTTCTAGAGATCGAGCTACTTTAATGTGTCTCCTGAGAACTGGGGGAAGCTCCAAATTCACTCACTTCAGAGTGTCCCCAGGAGTTTCAGATCACCTTCTTTCATTTGATCAGCACAGAAACCATTGACTCAGCTACCCTTTCTCTGTTTTTGCAGGTCTCTCTGCTCTTCAGGTCTCTGGTGGCCTAGTGGGGGTGTATGATGGAAAGACTCTAGTGTTTGAGGAGAGCAGCTGGTTCATAATTAACATGATTAAACTAATTTGGCGCTATGGATTTCAGCCCCTCCGAATGCACATGTGGGTAGAGGACTTGTTAGGCAAGTTCATGAGGTAATTTTTTTTCCTTCCGTTTACCCAAGACCTTTTAGTTTGTTGAACTTCAGGAATTATAATTTGTTGGAACAGTTCTACCTAAGTGCAAGGTCCGTTTGTAAGATTGCTAGGCAAAATGTTTTATAGAAAATATGCAGACCATTTATCACTGGAAATTGAAAGGGTAGTTCAGTTTTGCTTTGACATAAATTTTGCAAATGCCTTTTTAGTGTTGCCAGACACTGTTAGATGCTTTACAAATGTTAAGTGCTTGAATTCTCATGACATCTTTCTCAGGTAGGTAGTCTTCTTAGCTTCTTTGTACAGATGTGGAAGGTGGTGTCATAGAGAGGTTTTAAGTGTGCAAGTTCACCCACCTAGTCAGCGATGGAACTGGAGTTCCTACCCAGGCATTCTGGCTCTGGCATCCTTACTCTTAGTCCCTGCACTGAGCTGGTGTTGTGTAGATGGATGAGATAGTGTGTACAAGAGCTTGTAGAAAGGATCAAAAAACTTAAATGGGCTTTAATAATGACATGATGTTTCAGCCTGAAGTAGAGTATAAGTTCTGTACCCCAATAATTTAAATTGGGATATTACATTCCAGCACTGTCCTGGGTAGTGAGCGTACATGTACCTCTTTTATTTCCTTATGCTTTTCTAGATTTTAAAATTTTCTATGTGTATTAATGTGTATTACTTTGGTAATCAGGAAAAATAACATAAAATAGCCAGTCGAATTTTGAAAGGTACAACCTATTTTTTAAAAAGCTGTTAGTGTGTGTTAATTTTTATGCTTGTTTACAGGTTTAGGTGCTGGAGAAATTCAGCTTGTAAATGTTAATATTTCATTACTATGACTATTTTAAGATAATAGTAGTTGGCCGGGCGCGGTGGCTCACGCCTGTAATCCTAGCTGTCTGGGAGGCCGAGGCGGGCAGATTGCTCGAGGTCAGGAGTTTGAAACCAGCCTGAGCAAGAGCGAGACCCCGTCTCTACTATAAATAGAAAGAAATTAATTGGCCAACTAATATACAAAAATTAGCCGGCATGGGCGAATGCCTGTAGTCCCAGCTACTTGGGAGGCTGAGGCAGGAGGATTGCTTGAGCCAGGAGTTTGAGGTTGCTGTGAGCTAGGCTGATGCCACGGTACTCACTCTAGCCTGGGCAACAAAGTGAGACTCTGTCTCAAAAAAAAAAAAAAAGATAATAGTAGTTGAAAAGGTGAAATGATGTGTCATATGACCAAGTATTGAACATGACAAATGTAAGAATTGAGGAGTTTCTATTGCCTCTATAACTTGCAGTAATTAGGTATTTCTTTCTTTCTAAACATCATTCTTAGGTCAATTCCTTGAATGCCTTTCCTCTGGGTACGTTAAGTCCAGCTACAGTATATATTGTTTTAAAATACTCATTCATTTATTCATTCACCCCATACTGAGTGCCTGTTATATGCCAGGCATTATTCTAGGTAGAAGGTATAGGACCTAGAACATGTCCTTGGTCTCAAAGAATATATATTCTAAGCCAGATTTGGCATCATGCACCTGTAGTCCCAGGTACTCGGTGGCAGGCTGAGGCAGGAGGATTGCTTGAGGCCAGGAGTTTGACACCAGTGTGGGGAACATAGTGAGACCCTGTCTCTAAAATAGAAAAATTAGCTGGTTTTTACTTTAGAAGACAATTTCCAAACTTTATGGAATTACTGTCCCCATCTTTGATATCTGATTTTACAGCACTGACCTTTATGTTGCTAATGTTGCATTATACTTTTCTGTTTATTTCAGTAAATGAAGATTATGTAAATTTGTTTTGGCATTTTTATCCTACCCTATGAAATAGTTGGAGAGAAGGGTGATATTCAGCCAGCATGCACCAGTTGTTGAAAGTTGTGAAATACTGCTGGACTGGTGAAATAACTGCTGTCCTGAGTGGAGAGGTGTCTGCCCTTCCCCAAGGACCTTCTTTGTCTGCCCCCAGCATTGAGTCTTGACTCAGTTCCAAACCTATAGCCAATCTGCTTTCTGTTTCATGGTGTACCATTTGCTAAGTATTTTTTTTCTTTATTATTTTTTTTCTCTTATTTTTTGCCATATAAAAAAATGCTGACTGACCATTTGCTAAGTATTTCTAATATTGCTCCATGTTGGAGATATTATGTAATGTCACAAAACCCTGAATTTGAAGACACAGAGGTTACCAAAGAGGAATCTGGGACAACTAATTCCCCTCTATTTTAGTTAAAGGAGTAGTTCTCAACCTTGGCAGCACAATAGAATGGGGGTGGGGTGGGGCCGGGGATCTTTTTAAAATACAAATGCTGAACTTCACCCCTAGAGACACCTGTAGCCAAAGTTGAGGGGGGAGGGTTTGAAATGTGCAATGGAGGATATTCTTAAGTTTTTTTTTCTTCAAACAGTATAGAAACTTGAAGCCCTTGCTCAAAAATTTGTTTCTCTTTTGTGTATATGTATGTGTGTGTGTATGTCACACACACATCAGATCCCATGTATCTCTTGAAAGTAGCTTGTATGATCTTCTGCAAACTTTTAAGGATATGCTAACCAACCTTAGGTATGCACATTGTCATTGCGTTCTTACATTTCAGAGTGTACATAGTATGAACTAAGGCTCGTGTGACAATAGTAAACCATGACACTCAAAAAGGAGTTCAAATTTGTAGTAAGCAACACTTTAGACCCCTGGGGTTATGCATTCATACTTCTCTGCTATTGGAAGTACTTGGGTGGAAATCCTGAAGCCCCTGACATCTGCATTTGCCAGGTTTATATCCAATTCTGCACATTTATTTATGCTGTTCTGGTTGAATGCCATTCTATACTCCACAGAGTCTAAGCTCTTATCTTACCCTTTCAAACAAAGTGTTTCCCCTGGTTGGAGACATTCTTTATTCCAATGTCCAACCTGTTATCTAACCCCTTCGACAAAGTCTTCCCCTAGTACTTCAGTCATCATTCATCTTTCTTTTCAAACATCTCTTCAGTATTATGGTGCACATCATGTGCTTGTGTTGTTGTGTGCTGTGCACAGTAATTAGAATGTAGTAGATATTCACTCAGATTTTGTTGAATTGAATTCCCTGATCTACCGATAGCTTCTTGTTGAGATATCTTGGCTTATTGGCTAGGTTAAAGCTCATCCTTGTCTCCAGACTTAATGCATTTCTTTTCTTTTTTTTTTTCTTTTTGAGCCAGAGTCTCACTCTGTTGCCCAGGCTAGAGTGAGTGCCGTGGCGTCAGCCTAGCTCACAGCAACCTCAAACTCCTGGGCTCAAGCAATCCTGCTGCCTCAGCCTCCCGGGTAGCTGGGACTACAGGCATGCGCCACCATGCCTGGCTAATTTTTTGTATATATATTAGTTGGCCAATTAATTTCGTTCTATTTATAGTAAAGACACTCTCGCTCAGGCTGGTTTTGAACTCCTGACCTTGAGCAATCCGCCCGCCTGGGCCTCCCAGAATGCTAGGATTACAGGTGTGAGCCACCGCACCCGGCCTTAATGCATTTCTTAATGCATTTGTGTTAAATCTCTCACACTTCTTGATCTGTGTAGACTTAAAATCACAAGATGCATAAATTTGGGAATGAGAGCCCCGAGAGCTTTATTTGTTATAAAAGGTTACAATCTGCAGGCTGGCAACCCTGCAATTTGGGAAGTGTAGCCTCTGGCAGAGACCAAAAGCAGGCATTTCGAAGCAGGAAGGGTGAAACAGGAACTTACACTGAACAGGTTGGCTAAGTATACATATTGCACAATTTGTGGGAGAAGCTATGAATATTTACAAAGGTGGGGGTATGTGCATTGTGGTAAGCAAACATGCATGTTCCATGCCTCATAGTCTCTTTGGGGTCGAGTCTTAGCATTTAAATACTATAAAATTAGCCTCTATCTGTCTAAAGGTGAAAGGGGACCAGGTGTCGTGGCTCAAGCCTGTACTTCCCAGCACTTTGGGAGGCTGAGGCTGCAGGATCATTTGAGGTTAGGAATTTGAAACCAGCATGGTCAACATAGAGAGACCCCAATTGCTATTAAAAAAAAATTATCTCGGTATGGTGATATGGGCCTGTAGTCCCAGGTACTTGGAAGGTTGAGGTGGGAGGATATTTGAGCCCAGGAAGAGGTCAAAGTATGCTGTGACCACTTCACTCTAGACTGGATGACAGAGTGAGATCTTGTCTCTTAAAAAAAGGTGATATGGAGGACACAGAGGTATCCTGTGTACCATTTTAATTTTGTTTCTTTTACTACATATTTTTTCAGTTATTTCACTTGACATTTTTAAACAGTCTTTATTATTAATGATAATTATTATCTTAATTGTTTTAAGTCAGTACCAACTTGCTGTAATATAGGTTCATTATTTCCCCACTTATTGTTATACAAATTGTATCTTTATACATTAGAAGCCCATTACTACAATTCTATAATTATTTTATGCAGTTTCTCTTAAATGTGGTAGAATAAAAGAGTTATAAACAAATATATTTTCATACTGTATTTTATGTTTACTAATGTAATTACATTTACTGATGCTTTTTGTTTCTTTATGTTTGATTCAAGTTTCTGCCTACTTGTTCTATCTTAGCCTAATAGAAACTTCCATAGTTCTTATAGGTCAGATATGCTAGTGTTGAATTCTCTGTTTTTGTTCATGTGGGAGTGTCTTAATTTTACTTCATTTTGAAAGATAATTTTGCTGGATATAGAACTCTTGGTTGACAGTGTTTCTTTGAGTATTTTTTTTTTTTTTTTTGAAACGAGTCTTCACTTTGTTGCCCAGGTAGATGAGTGCCATGGCGGCAGCCTATTCTCACAGCACCTCAACCTTGGGTCAAGCGATCATACTGCCTCGCTCTCCGAGTAGTGGGCTACAGCTGCGCACCATACGTCTAGTTTTTCTGTATGGTTTTTGGGCATTAATTTTCTTTTTTTATAGTAGAGAGGGGTTCGGTCTTGTTCAGGCTGGTGTTGAATCTGAGCCTTGGCAGTCACGCTCGGCTCAGAGTGCTAGATTACAGGCGTGAGCCACGCCCGCTTTTGGGTATTTCCTTCTGCTCATGGATTGGTGGATTAGGGAGTCAGCTCGTCAATTCTTATTGAGGATTCATTTGTGAGATGAGTGCTTTTCTTTGATGCTTGAAGATTTATCGTTTCTTCCACATTTGATATGTGTCTTTTTTTTCTTTCTTTTTTTTGGTTTTTTTTGAGAAGACTTCACTTTGTTGCCGGGCTAGGTGCTGTGGATAGCCTGAGTCACAGGCACGTAAACTCCTGGGGCTCAAGCAATCCTCATGAGCTGCTGGTACTGGGACAGCATAGAGCCAGCATGCCGGCTATTTTTCTTAATTTTTAGTGGCAGATTGAATTTCTTTGCTGTTTTTAGTAGGATGGGTCTTCGTCTTGTCTGGCTGGGTTTTTGGATCTGACTTGAATTATTCTGTGATCAGAGTGGTTAGGAATTACAGGTGTGAAGCACGTGCGGCCTGATGTGTATTTCTTCTTATTTTCAATGGAATTATTACAAAAGAGTATGATGTGTCTGTTAGGTATGATGTCCTGTTGGATGTCTTTTCCTGTGGAGTTTGTTGAGCATATTAGATGTGTAGATTACTGTTTTTCATCTACAATTGGAAGGTTTGGTTTCTTCTTTAGGATTCCTTATTTGAATGTGGTACTTTCATTCCCAGGTTTCTGAGGTGTTGTTATTTTCTTAAATTTTTTTTTTGTTCCTCAACCGTATATAATATTCAGTTTCTATCTTCAAAGTTGTGATCTTACTATTCAATATCCTGTTGAGCTCTGTATAAAGTTTTTATTTCAGATATTATACTTTTCAATATTTGGGGAGCATTGCTTCGCCCCCCCGCCCCCCCCCCCCTTACTGCTTTAGTCTTTTTTTTTTTTTGGAGAAAGGTCTCACTTGTTGCCCAGAGCTAGAGTGAGTGCGTGGCATCAGCCTGCAGGGCTCACAGCAACTCATTCCGGGCTCAGCGATCAGTACTGCCTCGCTCCTAGTAGCTGGGATACAGGCATGCGCCACCCATGCAGTAATTTTTTTGTTTGTATATTATTTTTAGTTGGTCATTAATTTATTTCTTTTTGTGGTAGAGACAGGTCTCGCTCAGGGCTGCGTTTCGAACTCAGCTGACCTTGAGCAATCCGCGCCTCGGCCTCCCAAAGTGCTAGGATTACACGCGTGAGCCACCACGCCCGGCCGCTTTAGTTCTTTAAACATTGTTTACATTAGTACTTTCAGCATATTTATAAAAGCTGATTTAAAGTCTCTCTCTGGTAAATTCCATGTCTGGGCTTCCTAAGGGCCAGTTCCTATTGACTCCTTTTATTTCCTGTGTTTAAGGCATACTTCCTTGTTTGTTTGAGTATCTCATAATTTTTTGTTGAAAGTTGGATATTTAAAATATTATATGGCAACTCTGGAAATCAGATTCACTTTCACCCTCAGGGCTTGTTGTTGCTGTTGGTTTAGTGACTTTCTGGCTCTAACTTTGTGAAGTCTGTATTCATCATGTAAGGCCACTGAGTTATGTTTGTTGAGGTACATTTTCAATGTTCTGGCATGCAGTTTACAGCTCTGCTTTAGCCTTTATTTTCTGCTTGCTCAACGCATCAGGGCCACCACACTTGGGCCTTATCAGGTCTTTCTTGGTCATGGGATGGGACAACCTTTCGTAAGTATATGTCCTTCTAGATTTCTGGGAACATTGTTTGCTATTTTCATTCTCTAGTGTTTCTTTTTAAAGTTTTTTGGTCAGCCTCTTTTAGTTCCACTTAGTATCACAGTCTCAGGATGTTGTGATGTTAAAAAGTTGCCGCTGATTTTTTTTGACGCATGCCTTTACAATGGGGCTGTTTGTATATAGTGAGCTCTGAATTAGGTCTAAGAAAGACAAGACCTGAGGATAGGGCTTTTTGGGATCTGCCACATAGTCATATAGCCACAGTTCTCTGGGGATTTTGCTTTTTGGAAGCTCCAAATCCTTTCTGTCCTTTCCAGTAGCATATAAGTTGCTGATTTCACATCTCTTAGTCTCAGGACTGCTGGTTTTCAAGACTACTGCAGAGCTAGCAAGAAGGGGATGGGAATAGGACAAGTTAATAATGCCACAGGGCTTATTATTCTTACTGAGGTTTAGCCATCTTTCTTCAATCAGTCATTTTGACAATGCTTGGTTTATTTCCAAAGTTGTGAAAAAGTTGATGTTGACAATTTTTGCCAGTGTTCTCAATGTTTTTATGGAGATTTTCAGAGGCCCTTACTCTACCATTGTGGAAGTACTCCCTACTCCTCTTACTTTTCTGACTTTACCTACTCCTGTCCTCTTGGATCTCTCTGCTTTAGCTGCACTGGCCTTAGTGTTTCTGGTGTAAGCCAGGCAAGCTTCTGTTGTATGGATTTTGCACTGCTTTTACTTCTACCTGAAATATCTATCTACCCCCAGATATTTGTATGCTTTGCTGCTTCACCTCCTTCAGGTCTTTGTTCAGATGTCACCTTCGCAGTGAGGCTTTCTCTGACCACTCTAATTATTTTTTGGGGGCTACCTTATTTAGAATTGCAACCCTGCCAACCCCATCCATTCCTGATTTTTTGTTCCTTTCCGATTTTTTTCCTTAATACTTACCATCCTCTAACCTATTATATATCTACATTTATTTCATTTTTATTTCCTATTACTATTTTCCCAACTAGAACACAAGCCTCATGAGAGCAGGGATTTCTTTTCTCTGTTTTGTTAACCTCTGTATCCTTAGTACCTAGAACTGTTCAGTACCTAGAACAGTACCTGGCTCAGAGTTGGTGTTCCACAGGTATTTGTTGAATGAATAAATAAATGTTTAGGTTTGTGTCAGTGTAATTTGAAAAGAAAAAAGGATGTTTAAGCAATCTGGCTAGCAGAAACTAGTTATGTGTCTTTTAAAAAAAATTTTTTTGAGACAGAGTCTCATCTCACTCTGTTGCCTGGGCTAGAGTGCCGTGGCATCAGCCTTGGCTCACACCCAAAAACAAACCTTTCAATTCTGGGTTAAGCAATCCTACTGCCTTTAGCTCCTGAGTACCTGGACTACAGGCATGCGCCACCATGCCTGGCTAATTTTTTCTGTATATATTTTTAGTTGTCCAGCTAATTTATTTCTATTTTTTTTTTTTTTTTTTTTAGTAGAGATGGGGTCTTGCTCTTGCTCAGGCTAGTGTCAAACTCCTGAGCTCAGATGATCCACCTGCCCTGGCCTCCCAGAGTGCTAGGATTACAGGCATGAGCCACTGCACCCAGCCTAAAATATTTTTTTAAGTTTAAAATTTTTTTAGAGGCAAGGTCTTGCTGTGGTGCCCAGGCTGGAGTGCAATGGCACGATCATAGCTCACTGTAGCCTTGAGCCCAAGTGATCCTTCTATCTCAGGCTCCTAACTAGACTATAGGCATGTACCACTGTGCCGAGCTACTCTTTTTTGTAGCATTTATTCTAATGCAACAAGTATTATCATTAAATGACAGCACTGTACCTGTTAGGTTGTTTTTACCCCTCCGTCTTGTTTCTTTATGTGCAATTAGAGGAAAGGTGTTAGACTTGATAAGTTTGGGTCTAAAGATCATGATTTATTATTTATTTATCCCCCCCCCATGATTTATTTATTTATTTGTTTCAGGCTAAATAATCTGACCTTTATTTCATAAGCAACAGTAAGCCCCCAATTTTTTTTTTGAAAGGACTCACTCCATTGCTTGGGCTAGAGTACAGTGGTGTCATAGCTCACTGCAAACTCAAACTCCTGGCTCTAGTGATCCTCCTGCCTCAGTCTTCCCAGTAGCTGGGACTACAGGTGCATGCCACCACTCCTGGCTAATTTTTCTATTTTTTGTTGAGATAGGGTTTCAGTATGTTGCCCAGGCTAGTCTCAAACTCCTGGCCTCAAGCTATCTTTCCGCCTCGGCCTCCCAAAGTGCTAGAATTATAGATATGAGCCACCATGCCTGGCCAGCAAGACTTTCTGTGAATAAATGGATGCCAAGATAAGAGATGTATTTTGGGGCTTCTGGAAGATTCATAAATATTTCAAAGAAAAGAAACTAAAAGAAGGTAGATCATTTTATCTTAGTAGTTTGAGTATAAATCCTAAGATCAGGGAAGGGACAACAGATTGGTAAAGTTTCCTGATTGGTTGGAAGAAACAGACAGAAATGAAATATGTTTAAGCCTTGAAACTAAATAAACTGAGGATGACAAACATGATGTTAGTAGTGGCCAGTTATTTTTGGTTGGGATAGGATGAGTGAAGATCAAGCCTGGTGGAACGACAAAATTTAATTTTAGACATGTCTAGGTGCTGCTGTAAGATATAAAGAAGAATGAGAAGGTGCTCCCAGTGGTCATATTACTGCAGAAAAGCAAGACCGTATACAAGGACAATAGACTTGTAGAGGAGGTGGAGGGCTAGGATTGTCTCAGAGAGCTGGGGAAGATGGTCTCTGAGCTGTGTCTAACATGATAGGAAGAAATTCAATCAGAAGGGAACATGAAAGTCGGTTTTGTTCTTATGACACTATTTCCCTTCTCCCCTTCTCGTTTGGTGTTTAATGGCTATTTATTTTTCCTCTTTTCAAAAGGATCTACCGGTACCAATCTCATGAGTATGCCTTCAGCAGTGTAGAAAAATTACTACATGCTGCAGGAGGGGATGAATTCCTTGGACTGCTTAACCGAACACTTCTTGAAGCCTTGCAGAAAGCAGGCTTCTCTGAGAAATTCCTCAATGAAATGATTGCTCCTGTCATGAGGGTCAATTATGGCCAGAGCACGGGTCTCAATGCTTTTGTGGGTAAGCCAGGGTTTGGAACAATGGTAGACATTAGTCCATAAGGGGTTCATCTGATGCTATGGTGGCCTCTGACTTTAGGCCATGGATTGGGGAAGGCTGCCTCTCTGTGAACCTCAGACATTATTAGCAAAATTTTTGTAAGGGGGTCCTTAGCTTTCATTAGTTCAGTGGTTGTCATTTGGGGGGCATTTTTCAATGTCTGGAGACATTTAGAGCAGAGCATCTAATTGGGAGCAGAGAGTTAGGTAGGGGATCTCTTACAGATTCAGAATTTACACATTTTTTCCACCTGTTGACAGGAGCGGTGTCACTGTCCGGTGGTGATTCTGGCCTTTGGGCAGTAGAAGGTGGCAATAAGCTTGTTTGCTCAGGGCTCCTTCAGGCTTCTAAAAGCAATCTTATATCTGGCTCAGTCGTGTACATAGAGGAGAAAACAAAGACCAAGCAGACAGGTAAGCTTTAAGTTTCATTTTATTCTTTCTTATTTCTTCTGTAGAAAATGATTACTCAAGGAGAAAAATCTCTTTTCTGCCGTCTCTCACTCAGATCCACAATGATGGAAGTCTAAATTGCCTATCTTTTGCCATGTTGAAATATTGCCACATGTACTCAAGTGCAGAAGCATGACTCCTTGGATTTAAAAAATAATCTCATTCTCAAAAGTAAAAATTCCTTATTTTGAATTTACTGACATTCTGAAAACTGGCCTCAATGTAATAAAAATGCAAGGGACAGTTATCTTGCCTAAAACTCGCTTAATTCCTTACAATTACAGAGAAACTATTGAGAAGGTATAGAATTATTTTTAGGGGGTATAAAATATAGTATGTTGGACGCACTAAAGAAATGTGTGCTTCCTATTCCCTCTAGGATATCCCACAACAATGTACGAAGTGGTCTACCAAATTGGATCTGAGACCCGTTCAGACTTCTATGACATCGTCTTGGTGGCCGCTCCATTGAATCGAAAAATGTCTAATATTACTTTTCTCAACTTTGATCCTCCAATTGAGGAATTCCATCAAAATTATGAACATATAGTGACAACTTTAGTTAAGGGGGAATTGAATGCATCTGTCTTTGGCTCTAGAGCCATAGATAACTTTGGCCTTGGTATGGTTTTAACCACTGATAATTCAGATTTGTTCATTAATAGTCTTGGGATGCCGTCCTCTGTAAAGAAAAAGGAAAATCTTCAACCGTCAACAGATGGAACATTTGTTTGGAAGATGTTTTCCCCAGAAACTCTTACTAAAGCACAAATATTAAAGCTCTTTTTGTCCTATGATTATGCTGTGAAGAAGCCATGGCTTGCATATCCTCACTACGAGCCCCCAGAGAAATGCCCCTCCATCATACTTCACGATCGACTGTATTACATCAATGGCATGGAGTGCGCAGCAAGTGCCATGGAAATGAGTGCCATTGCAGCCTACAACGCTGCGCTCCTTGCCTATCACCGCTGGAATGGACACACAGACATGATTGACCAGGACGGTTTATATGAGAAACTTAAAACTGAGCTATAAAATGACACCATCTATTTTTTCCTCTTCTACTTCCAAATGAGTATCACTGGCAAAAAAGGACAGAGTCTGGGCAGAGATGATTTTGAATAGAATATTTTGCCAATATCACTGTTTAACAAAAGTAATACCTGTGGGTCATAAGAAAGTACAAGGTTCTAATTAAGCATGATGATGTAACTATTGCACTTATGCCCTCTCCAAAATTTCTTAAGTTTTCTTTTAATATCCATTAGCAGTGTTGCTCAAACTTGTCTGATCATAAGAATTACCTGGAATTTTTTAAACATGTGAATTCTCTAGCTCCTCTCTTAGAGATTGTTTCAGTAAGTCTGGGGGCAGAGCCCTGAATTTTGATCAGAAATGTAGAGCATTTTAAGCTGAACACTTGAGGGAGAACTTAAGGACTGTGTTAGCTGGGGACTGGTCCATTTGAGCTTTACTTCTGGACGTGGTGTTCAGTCAGATAAAACTAGTAAGGGAGATGGTGTCTTTATGCCTGGCTCTTAGTAATTTTATACCCTCTTTTGAAGTAAATGTGCCCATGCCCAAAGCCTTGACTTTCAGAATGTTGTCCTTTGATTGCTTCTGCCTTGATATTATTAGGGGTGAAATTAATGTCTTACTAATTTAACCTTAAGATGTCATACAAAAAGCTCAAGTAAATATGGGCTAAAAGCAAATATGGGCTATTGAGTTAGAAATTGGCATTCTGCTACGTCTTCACTTAAGGAGCTTTTAAAAATACTGATAGACACCCCCCCCTCCCCCCCAAAGCAGAGATTCTGATTTAATGGATTGAGGATAGGACCTTGGCACTGTAACTTTTTAAATTTCCCAATGTGCAACCAGGGTTGAAAATCACTGATGTGGGGGCAAAACTGTCTACAAAGGTTCTTTTGTGCCCTTAAAGCAGATCCATTTTGGAAGGGATGATTTGCTTCAAGGAGAACTTCAGTAGGAATCTTGATAACAAGAAGCATTGACAGTCCAATAGCAGAGGCAACTTAGGTAACTCCGAGCAGTTGGCACTAAAGCAGGATATTGAGCATGACACCAAGCTTGACCAGATGCAGCACATGTTCTAAGTGTTAAATATTTCTGTTACTGTAGCGTTCTGGATGAGAAACTGGTTGCTGAAATCTTAAGACAGTGGCGCTCAACCATAGCTGTACACCGGAATCACATGGAGGGCTTTAAAGTGTCCCAAATGATTCTAATATCGAGCCCAAATTTGAGAACCAGTTCTACATCTGTTATACAAAGATCATGATTGGCTGTCATAGGCACTGGTAGAAGAGAACAAGTGCTTAAGAATTCTAACAGTAAGTGCAACCAAATTAACATGTACTGTTATTAAAGAGAAAGTCCTTCACCAGATTATGGCAGTAATCACTTTAAATGGTGAAGAGAACACTGGTTTTTAATAAAAATTATCTCTTCCCTTGTACAATTGTGATTATTAAAATGCTGATAAACTGCCAAAATACATTTGATATAAAGGTGGGGATTAAACTCATGGTCTGTCAAAGGGTCAACTTTTTTCTAATTTTATTCTTAACAAATGTTAAGAGGCATTTGTATTTTCTTCCTGTTGTGGTCTTAATGAAGACAGTTTGTAGAGAATGTAATACTGTTATGTGTATGCTAAATATTGGTACATACTAATGAAATAAGTTAATTTCTATCCTTTGTAAACTTGTTTTACAGAGGCATATATTTTTACTTTTAAGAATACCTATTGGCAGGGCACGGTGGCTCACATCTGCAATCCTAGTACTCTGGGAGGTGAAGGTGGGAGGATTGCTTGAGCTCAGGAGTTCAAGACCAGCCTGAGCAAGAGCGAGACCCCATCTCTACTAAAAATAGAGAAATTAGCCAGGTGTGGTGGTGCATGTCTGTAATCCCAGCTTCTTGGGAGGCTGAGGCAGGAGGATGGCTTGAGCCCAGGAGTTTGAGGTTGTAGTAAGCTGTGATGATGCCATTGCACTCTAGCCCAGGCAAGAGAGTGAGACTTTGTCTCACAAAAAAAAAAAAAAAAACACAAAAAAACAAAAAACAGTGAAAAATGTCACTGGTATTATATCAAAACTCTTCTGGTTACATTTCCCAGTAGGGCATCTGATACTGCTTTCTCAGAACTAAGCAGGTTATCAGTACTTCAGGCAACCTGCAGATTTGATCCCTGCCTAAAAATAAAAAAATACTTCAGGCACATTAGATAATTGTAATGCAACTATAGTATTAAAAGAATAGTGAGAGAAAAATGCTATCAGAGCTTGCTGTTCCAGGTGTATGAGGTAGTTTTTATACAATTACAGTATGCCAGCTCTTCTCCAGTGGTTGAACATGCATCAGAATTACCTGAAGGGCTTGTTAAAACATTGCTGGGCCTCACCCTCAGAATTTGTTTATTCAATAGGTTTGTAATGGGATCAAAAAATTTATATTTTATTAAGTTCCCAGGTGAAACTACTGTTTTAGGAACCACACTTGGGGAGCTAGTTCTATAATCCAGCTCTATGTTGCTGTAAAAAATCAATGTCAAGGATGATTTACAAAGAACTGAAGAATGGAAGAATAAAAAAGTATTGGACTTCACATCAACTCTGCTTACTGGGATTAAGTTAGTTTGCTCCCTCTAGCTGCTTTTTTTTTTTTTTTTAATTTTTAAATATATCTCTGAAATAAATCTTATTTTTTTAATTTTTAAGAAACAGGGTCTCGCTATGTTGTCTAGGCTGGAGTGCAGTGGCTGTTCACAGGCACGATCCCACTACTGATCAGCACAGGGGTTTTGACCTGCTGTTTCTGACCTGGGCCAGCTCACCCGTCATTAGGCAACTTGGTGGTCCCCCACTCCTGGGAGGTCACCATATTGATGCTGAACTTAGTGTGGATACCCAGTCATACATACAGCCCAGAACTCCTGGGCTCAAGCAATCTTCCCACCTTAGCCTCCCAAGTAGCTGGGACCCCAAGGCATGCACCCCAGCATCTGGCTAGTTCTTTTGTGGTAAGCATTTTCTATAAAGAGGAAATACCATTTTAGACAGAGATATATTAAAGTCATTTACTGTGTTCTGTGTTTTTCGGGAACTTCATACACTCACTTGTGTATATTCCATTCTATACATTCAAGATTTGCAGGCTTTTCACCAGATCACAAAAAGAAGAGGCCTTAAGTATTTGATTGGTAGGGTTTCTAAGGGTTAGGTTTATAATACAACCCTCTGTAGTATATCTCTCACGTGAGCTTGTGGGCTATAAAATTCATGAATTAGATGAATATATTGTGGATACCACTCATTACCATTTCTCTGTTCACAAAGAACCACAATACACTGGAATGTTTTTCTCTGGAATCCTATTTCTGTTATTATATTCAAGTTTTTTCCCCAGTTAATGGTTATATTCAAAATAAACAACTACATCATTATTTCTCTGTGTTTTATTTCTGTTGCACTATATTTGGAATGTAGATGTACATGGAAAAGTGAGAGTAGATCAAAGTTACTACTCTTAAATTTTGAAAATGACAGTTAATGTTTTAGAAGAAACCCACTCATGTTTGCAGCTTATCTGTTCAATGTTGAAAGAAGAAAAGGAATCCTTGCCATGTTTTATATTTAATAAGATTTTTCCATTTAAATGCATAAACTCTTTGAATTAGTCCCAACCATGAGAGTAGTTTCTAAAATTCATGTTAGAAAAAGTTAAGAGTTAATATTCTATATTCAGAAAATAAGAGCATTTTTGAGTATTACAAAAGTTTATTTAACAAAAAGTTTAATATGAAAATGTATATGACCTGATTTTGACATCATAGTAAAAAAGGCCCTTTGGAGAGGGGACATGGATTTCCCTGCTGAACAGCCATTATTTATACTTGTTCCAAGGCTTCTAACATGATGATACTATTACCTAAGAAAAAGTAAATCTGAAAAGAGCAATTCATTTAAAAGATCAATGATAAAGTATGTTTACCAAATCCTTTTTCTTTTTTTTTGAGACAGTCTCACTCTGTTACCCTGGCTAGACGTGGCATCAGCCTAGTTCACAGCAACCTCAAACTTCTGGGCTCAAGGGATCCTTCTGTCTCAGCCTCCTGAGTAGCTGGGACTACAGGCATGCACAACCATGCCTGGCTAATTTTTTCTATAGATTTTTTAGTTGTCCAGCTAATTTTCTTTCTATTTTTAGTAGAGACAGGGTCTTGCTCTTGCTCAGGCTGGTCTCAAACTCCTGACCTCAAGCGATCCTCCTGCCTCAGTCTCCAGAATGCTAGGATTACAGGCGTGAGCCACCGTGCCCAGCCTCAACTCTACATCTTAAATCAACTTCATGCCCTTGCATAAATAGAACAAAAACAAGAAAAACAAAGACCTGGAAACCTTTTTTCCCCTTCTAAACTACTGACCTCAAGGATTTTGTTTTACAGATTTTGGGAAATGTGCTGACACTTCTAGTAAACAGGAGGTTGGCAACAAACAGAAACACCTCTCAACCTCCACCAGATCAGAGGCAGGTTAGAGGAAACTGCCAGTCTGTTGGTACCTGTGTAGTAAGAATTTGGTATTTGGAAGACTCTGGCTTTGGTATAAGGGAATTTCTTACTGCCAGAACAAGCACTTGCCACATAAAATATAGGCTCTAAATCACACTCCTGTACTATCTCTGATCCAAATTTTATACCAATTTTTTCCATTTCACTTTTCTGGTTTAAAACAAACCAGTGTCCAGTGGCAAGTGACATATGACTTATGCTCATTCCCATCCTTAATTTCTTCATTCATATACTTTGCTTAGAAGACTAAAATTCCCATTCCTTTTTAAAAATAGACTCTTGCCCTCAGCCCCGATGGCCACTGGCAAAGACTTTTATTTCCCAATGGATACGAGAGACTCTTTCATCTTCTTGGTCATAGTTGGGATGAGGTGCATGTGGTCATCAACACACTTGGTCACACAGCCGTCCAGCTGACGCTTCACCTGAAGCTCCTTACTCCCTGCATCTATGGAATCTTTGGCTTTGTCGTTGCAATGCATGGTGCAGCGGGCCAGGCGGTCCTGTGGCAAGAAGGAAGAGGGTAGAGAGGCTGAGTCTGGCTTCCATTTACTAAGTGCTCATCTGCTAGGCCCTGTGCTATAGCCTTGACGTATATTATCTTCATCCATCAAAGGGACATTCTAATATGATTGACCAAGATTGTTGGAGTGAAACAGGGAGGCCCAGATAAGACACTATTTCTAGAAAGGCAGGTGAGTGACAGAATAAATTGTACAGAAGACTCTTCCAGTAAGTAAGAGGTCATTAGAGGTTACTGCTAGGCTTACACACATCTTGATTCTTTAATAGACCTGTTCTTGCTACAGATTAATCTCAATTCAACAAATATTTGTTGAGCATCTACTATGTGCCAGGCACTCTTCTTATATTGGGGAATATAGCAATGAATAAAACAGATAAAGTTCTTGCTAGAACTTACATTCCAGGTAGGGGAGAAAGACAAAATAAGTGGACACTTTGAGGAAGTACTTGGATATTTGAATCTGGAGTTCAGGA